TTGCTATTAGGTTGGAGGCCTTTGCTTGTAGGTTGGAGGCCTTTGCTTGTAGGTTGGAGGCCTTTGCTTGCAGGTTGGAGGCCTTTGCTTGTAGGTTGGAGGCCTTTGCTTGTCGGTTGGAGGAAATTGCTATTAGGTTTGAGGCCTTTGCCTGTAGGTTAAAAGGCCTTTTGCTATTAGGTTGGAGGCCTTTGCTATTAGGCTGGAGGCCTTTGCTTGTAGGTTGGATTCCATTGCTTGTAGGTTGGGGGCCTTTGCTATTTGGTTTGAGGCCTTTGCTTGTAGGCTGGAGGCCTTTTGTTAAAAAGGTACATATTGTCAAAAATGACATTATTGCATACATTTCAAAACTGGCAAATTAAAATTGTCATGTTGGGTTGGTATGTTTGTTGCACACAGCTTGCCATGTTGCCACAAACCATTCAAGAAATTGCTCCAATATGGTTACATTTGCAATGGCCAAAACATGGCAAACATCAAAAAGCACCTGTGACCATGTGTTTATTAGCAATACTTTTCAATATGTTGTGTTAAGTTTGACAACATATGTTTTGTACAATTTGCATACATGTTGATGTCTAATTCTTTTGTATATGCATGAACAAGTGTGCACTGAAAAACAAATGTAACCAGTTTTCATTTATCAAGACATGTTTCATCCTATTTTTGTGAAGTTAGTAACATCATTGTAACAATGCTAACAATGATAAAGTTAGCAGAGTTAGCACTGTTAGCGTTAGCCTTGTTATCTTAGTTATTCAACTTTTACGAAAAGTTAATATCATATATGTAAGTTTTAGCATTGTTAAACCATGTTACAACTATGTTCCAACTATGTTCTGACCATGTTAGCTAACTCTCATAACTAACATAACCTGTTATAAAAAGCGGACAATGTAAGTACTTCTACTTAACCTACTTACAAGTCTACTTATAAGTATGGTTCTAAGTACGAAAAACACATCTTGCTAAGTAGCATCAGAAGTAACTTATAAGTCACCAAAGTGCCCGGGGAAACCGAAGCATGAGAGCAATACCGGCCAACTTCACGACTTAAGCCATGTGACAAGCGAATACTGTTTAGATCCATTGACAAAACATAGTGCCAAGCCCGATCACTTGATAAAGTCGATCGAGACAGGAACACTTGAATCAGTGGACATGCATCCACCATTTCGTACACTTGTCAAACATAAGGCCTTTGCCGCTGAATGGGTTATAAACAACTGTAAGGAACCTCATCGCATAGTAAGCTTTTTCGCTGAAGATATAGCCGAAAAGGTTTATACAGTGTTTTATGGCCGATAAGATGAGAGACGCTACCGCACTAGTGGTACGGCGGATGTTTGCTTGTATGCTTGTTTTTGACCATTTTCTTGTCTCAAGAAAATTTGTGTCTGCATACAGAAGCCATTTTAACTCACCCAGCTCTCAGCCTGCGCGCTATCCCAATTCGTTTTCGCTCTATCCTCCTCACGCGCCACGATGCCGCGACCATCCGCATTTGGTTCGTTTGCCGCGAAGAAGTCGGAGGAGGAAGTGCAGAAAGGTCCGGAGGCACCTGATTCCCCGTCCGAGGCCACACCGGACCCGGCGGGTGCACCGTCAGGCGTTCCGGAAGGAGTACCGGTATTCTCTATGTGTTGCAAAATACTTTTAAAAAACTGAATCCAAGACCAATAATGCTAAGTTGAGAAGTCTCGGGAACCTGTGATGCGTACGCATCTGGCCTACGATGTCCTGCCGCTAGAGCGGTCTCAGGACTTGTTGGCGTCTGGGCTTGATAATACGTAGCGCTACCATCTGGATAGTAATCTGATTCATGGCCTTCTTCTGAACTCTCGCTGTCGCTCATTGTGTGCTAGCTGTAGCGGCTCTACTCGAACGAAGGTGCGCCGAAGCACACCCGTTAGTTCGGGATTTCTGGAGCAGCGAAGCTCCGCTACCACTTTGAGGGTGAAATCCCCCGCAGTGGAGCGCCTTATCTACAGTATCGACCTGGATCGAACTTACAGACTAACAACCTCACAAGAGCGTGCGAGCGAAGGCGAGCTGAGCAGCTTTTGTATCGCACAATGTACCTTGAGCCAAATGTAATGGCCGGTCGTATGCATTGCGTAAGAGCATACATAACATAAACCATATGAAGCAACAGCGAATGGGGGCCCAAAAACAAGAAACAGGGGGGCCGTTTGTAGTGATTTTTCAATTGATCCCTTCGATTTTGACCCATCTAATCGTAAACTAGAACTTCAGCCGACCTCCTTCGGAGATCGCTTTCGTGACTTTTGTGAACATGCCTGTGAAAAACACATGTGCGAAACTCTTTGGAAGACACTATATTATGAGAAAAAGACATGACAGACTCTTGAGAGACAGTCCCAAGAGACAATGCTTAATGTTTTTTAAAAAAATGACAGAATCTCTCGACAAGACATTTTTTAGGGAAGACTCGTGCAAAGAAACTCTTGGTACAATGTTTTCGACAAAAATGTTTGCTAAAACAAACAACATATTCGGACACCAAGTTGAGCTTTGGACTCTGAAAGGAGCCACGTGTTGTCCAAGTGCATGGTTTCAACTTTTGCCCCGCCTGTCCAACAATCAGCTCCCAAATATCGTAGGAACTGTCAGAGCTGGGCCAAAAAAGTTCAATCGCGGCGCTCAAGACGGCACCAGCATATGGAATGAGACCTGGCCCGGTCTCCAGACTTTAAAGTTAAATGGGGGTACCACAATAGTCACCTAACCATCAACCAGCCACTGTTAATCATCCCTTTTGTAGGGGTATATGCAATAATAAACACCTTATGGTTAGTATTCCACATTGTCAGAGTATTACTCAGTGATTACCCAGTCCAAGAGGTCTATAATTGGATGTACACCTATTTTGAATGACCTTACAATGCTGACTTGATGGGATGGTTGATTCTTGCGTAACCCACATTGCTTTTGTTTATGTCATCCTCTACTTTGCCCATGTGTTTCACATATCTTCACAATACCAAAACGAAGCATGGCCAAACACATTGTGTGTTTTGAGTAACCCCTGGCATGACAAAGTCACCGCTACGAACCCTGACCTATCTGCCATCTTGTCTCACCTGCTGACAGATCTACCGCTGCTAAGTCTGATGTCCCTTCTTCTGCTCAGCTGCGCTGAGGTGACAGGGAGAAACAAAACACTCAGAGATCGACATCCAACATGTGAGGCCCTCGCCTGGTGGGAAAACGAAATCAAAACTGTGAGCTTAATTCTCCGCCGACACACTTGCAACTGATTTCGTGGCCTTCTTTGCGACGTCAGACGCTGCGGTGGTCACAAAGCCTTGTACTGTAACCTTCAGAGCATTCGAGAGCCGGTCGGTCCATGAAGTAGCACCACCACATCCATTTTGTGAAAGGCTGTCATACTCGTCCTCCTGCTTTCCGGTGACAGTTTCCATGAGGTCTTTCACGTTGCCAGGAATGTCCCAGACGAAATTAGTCAGCGCTTCCAACTCTGACTCCATTTCAGCTAGCTTTACTTCATCTTCGGCTGAACATATTTCCTCAATTCAAACGTGCCCCGAACTGGTACCGGATGGTGTCTTTCCTATCAAGGGAACCCCAACCAAAACCAACTCCAAAACAAGTAAAACATGTTGAAAACATCCATAACGAGTCTCGGAATCCAACATACGCACCTTCTTCATCTTCATCTTCTTGGCATGCTTCACCGCAACCTCTGGACTTGAAATCTGCAACAGGTCGAGCTGGTCACTGCTGTTGCAGACCAGAAGAGGGGCACCAAGGACCCGCAAGGGAGCAAGGACTAGCAATGGCACCAACATGATCTGGGCCTTCGCCTCCGCTAATTCAGGAAATCAGTGTGTATATATATATATACATATCATTGTATATGGTATCATGACAGTGTATGTGTCAAAATATGTTGGGCAATTTGGTCCATATATACATATACATAAATTGCAATATTCATCCTTGCAAAGTGCATGTAAAACACAAGTCTCCATTGCTGATAGTTCATGACTAAACATGTTGATTTGTTGTTACACGTTTGAGCTGGACTTTGCTGTTTGCCAAATGGCTGGCTGAAGAAAATAAAGACTGGCTGTGGCCACTCTGCAGTCGATGATGAAAACAACTTGCTCGTATCCAGCGGCATCTGAATCCAGGGAACTTTTTCCCTCCAACTGATCTGAAGCTTTGAAAGAGAATGTGAACCAAAATTGATCACGCAAAAGAACGCATGTCACCGACCTCGTCTGTCCAAGCATGGCATGAAGTAATTAATAAGTGTGCTGAGACCGTTCACCTCATATGACCAGCAGAATCTCAGGTTCTTGCCGCTTCCACCAGGCAAATTCTTCCCAATCCTGCAAAAGTAAAAACCTGTACGCGCCAAGTCGACCAGGATTTGATCTTTCCATACAGCTGGGTGCGGTGAAGTGAGGATTTGATCTTTCGTCTAGCTTTGGATACTTACAGTCTATCCTGACAAACATCATTGCACAACGAGTGCGAACCAAACCAGCAATGTGCAGCCGTGGAAACCAAAAGCGTCTTGTAAACTTCTTGAAAGGATGTTCTGTCAATACTTCAGACAAACAAAAGGTTACGCTTGTTAGCCTTCTTACAAAACACTCTGAGGTCAGCGGCGGATCGAATTAACAAGTCTGATTTTCGGGGCAGGTATGGGACGGTCAATTATCACACCGTTTTTATTTACAATAATAATAGGCTTTCCGGGGTGACAAATGACCGCCCACACCTTCCCTTGTCTCATGGTGTAGGATTCTAGGGGGATAGGGTTGTCATGAGTTTCAACGTCAACAAGCGCAACTTTCATCTGGCCAGTGCATTATACGCATTATATACACATGCTGCAGAGTTGTTGAATTGAGCTACGCATGGCTATGCATGGCTATCGTGCGCAATAAGTAGACCAAGCACCAAATCGCAGCTTGCTAGGTCAATGTTCACAGTCTCGTTGTGTCCTTCTTGGTCCAACAAAATCGCTCGTCCATGTTCTGTGGCAATCAGCAGTTAACGAGTTGGAGTTGTTTTCCACGCCGCGCCAGCGCACAATGTATCGCTGGACTAGCTGGACTTCTCACTCCGCTGGCTGTCCTGGCGCAGGTGGTCTCGGAGTCCAACAAGCTCAATCCCTGACAGTGATGTGATATTTCCATGGGAAGGGCCACAGCAAAACTGGAGGGCCTTGACATGACCCAATGTTTTCTCCAATTCTTCAAATCGATTTACCATGATGCACATGTAATGCGCATGTAGTCGCATTCTACGTAATGTATCAATCTATATATTAGTATACTGTACCACAGTTACAGTAGGGATTGTCAGGATCCAACTCCAACAGTGTTTTTCTTTGTTTTCAGAACATCGATCCATGCAGCCTCTGCCGCCGCCTTTTGCTCCCACCGTCGCCTGAAAGCTCGGCGCTCGGTCTCTCCGAGCAGCCACGCGCTGGAGACTCTCCAGGCCGCTGCGGTGATCGCTCCACCGCGAGGACCGCGGTGGGACTCGTCCGCCCAGGCTAAAGATCGTCCGGCTTCGCCCACGACGACGCCCTGAAGGGACCTTTAAGCTCCACGCGCGGATCCGCGACCTGATAGAAGCGATGTTAGGCACCCCCTGATTCGTAACATCGTCATCCTAGGAACCATCTAATCAATCCATGTGATGATGTGTTCGGAGGGTCGATCGTCCGGTTTCGCCCTTGGGCAACTTTCGGTGGACGCCCCCAAACAAGTGGAGCTCCTCGTAGTGGTCATCAAAACCCGTCTGGAGAGCCCGGTTCCACCATGTTCCACCCAACGAAATCATCAGGTGGAAACTTCCCCCATAAAGGGCATCTTAGAGGATGTTGGAGGGCCAACGGAAAAAACACAAAAATAGGCGCCAGACGGTCCGGCGGAAAACGGCGCCATCTGCTTGCGCGGCGCCATATTTGCGACCCGGAGGCCTCGCGCCTGCAAACATGAATCCTACCATCGATGGGACCAGTTCTTCTCGGAGCTCCGATCCGAAGCTCCAAGCGATCCCTAGCTGCCTAGCTATTTGGAGGCGCCTTGAGCGCCAAACCTAGCCAACTGCCGGGTATGGTGATTATAAGCCCAGCGCCAACTAGCGTCAATTGCCGGCTGTGTCTGTTCGGTGCTTTTTCGACTGAACGTAACCACATACATCCACATACTTACGTTTCGTCGCAGCCTTGTTCAGCCATACCCAGGACTGTAGAAGACATACTCGGGGAGATCATCCCCGTCTCGTCCGAGTGCACCCTCGGGATGTCACTTCCTCCGCGGGCTTCGGCCGCCACTTCAGCGGCGTCGGGCCGTGGCTTCGGCCGCCTGAACCGCCAGGGATTGGATGGGCGAGAAAGGCGAGAAAGGCTTAAGGGATCTTAAGGGATCTTAAGGGGGGAAGTTTGGCTGGCCTGGCCCCCCTCTGTTCTAAAGGGCCAATTGAAACCTTGAACTGCCGGACAGTTCTTCCAACAGGGTCATGGGGATGATTTTTGGGTGAGACATTGGGGGCCCCCGCAACGTGAGCAACTACTCAGTGTGGACTCCATCCCCCGGGCCTTCGCGCCACTTGCGAACCAAACAGCAGCTTTACTCCTGTGAGATCTCAAACGAGAGGAACGGAAAGAAACTGCGCTTGACGCGAAGAGTGAAGTTATCAAAGTGACGATCAACTGGTCCACATCAACTGGTTCAACGCACGAGCGCTCGGCGGTATGAGACCAACCAAGTGGGTGAACGAAGGATGCGGTATAAGGCGCACCGTGGAATCATGCACGATTGCATCTTCGAAAGACACGTCTTGGCACAGCTCCGGTGTCCCCAGTCTATCTTTCCGTTAAAAATCCTTGAACCACCACACCAGCCAATCTGAAGCTTTGATTCATGAACACTCTGCCAGCAAATCTCCTTAAATTTAAACACATACACGCTAATACACACCTGCAGAAGCACGATGAATGACTGCGCACTACCATGACATACCATGACTACAGTCACTATAGATGTCACTAGTGCAAACGCCCCAGTTCTCAAATCACCCACCCCCCCGAGGGCTCCGTCTCCATAGCTCGTGGGCCCTCCTGCTCGGGCGCAGGCTTCGAGCCGCCCACCAAGGAGAGGATGGAGGGCAAGAGCCACAGGCCGTGCGCGCCCGCAATGGTCACGACCAGGAAGAGCACCTGCGGCCGTGCGGCACTTTGTGCGGCGATGGTGCTGTCGACATCGGCCGATAGGGAGAGGACGATAGGGAGAGGTATTCAAGAGTCAGAGGTGGAAGAAACAGTGATTGATTTTTTGGAGATATGACATGAGATGAAATATGGTATATCAATGTTCAATTGACATCAACCACCCTGGAAGAATAGGATATTTCAATGAGATGTCCAGAGAAAAAGAAAACTCTTTGAATGAAAACCGCACCGTCTCGTTCTTCGGCCCGACCGTCTCGTTCGGAACGGCTCAGATGTCCGCAATAAAACTCGTCCCAGGCCACTGCAGATGGTCCAGGACTAGCGTCGGCTCCAGTCTCGTTCTTCGTGACGGTTCGTTTCGGCCTTGAAGAAGATGCGGAAGACATAGCTATCGGAGAAGCCGACGACCACCACCTGAGCCCAGCCACTGGGTCCGGTCGTCCCAGTCCCAACGACTCATCCAAGAACGGAACCACGCACCAAGGCGCGTTGGGCGCGGGTGCCGTAAGCAAAGGGGCGCCCCCATTCACTCATTCACCCCCCAAAAACCATCAAATGTATCCCAATTGATTCCAAATCTATCACATTACAGTATAGGCATGTATAGGCCATGTACTTGCATCTGCCGTTTTAGGAGCCTCTGGGATCAGCCAGATCGAATCAGCCCCGAAAACATCGAAACAATCGAAATCCTCCGAGTCAAAGAAAGACAACTTGGAAGAGACAGGGCCGTCCTCGAAGGAAGAGGAACATGGCCGCGGAGCCGCAGACGACTGCTCTCCTCTACCAACAGGGGAGAGAACCACTTTCATGATGGTTTCAGGGAAGATACTTTATCATGCACTAGCTTGATGGGTTGCAAAGTCCCCTACTTGGTCGAAGGTTCTGCTTCGGACACCCACCGCCTGGTATGTTAAGCCCAGTCAAAGTGTTAAAGTGTCATCTTTGCAGGGAACGACACCACTTTGCCGCACCCCAGTTCTACTCTCAAAGATCTCAAAGAAACAGTCCACTTGTTGAAATCGCCACCTATGAGCATGGCCGAGGAAAGGTGCCGAGAACAGGATGTCCCGCAGCCTTTTCGCGGACTCCAAGTCCAAAACATGCTGCCTTCCCCGTCCAGTACATGGCAACCCACTCTCCAAACCCCACTCGACTCTCCATGCCAGGCGCCGCCAGCAAGGTGGAGAGCACGGCGTTGAAGGTACAAACCCCAATCCTTGGCGCCACGGCGTCCCGTAAGAATTGGCTGCCAGAGCCCTGGTCAGTCACGGACATCACATGACGACGAGCCAACCAGCCACGTTCTCCGTGCCACGGAGCCACGGTCGCCGGTTCGACGCCAGGGCTCCGATCCACCGAGTTGATGGCACGCTCCCGTGCGCTGCCCGTGGACTCCTGGAGAGAAACGGAGGGACTCCACGCAGGTGGGTCGATGAGAAACAGGGCAGTCCAGTGCAACAGCGTCTGTTGTTGTACATCTTTTATGGCATGTCTTTAATTCTGGTGCTGAAGCGGCCACAAACAGTGCCTTCGAAGTATTCTTCAAGCGCAAGAGGAAGAAAAAGAGGCTGAGAGCGAAAGCAGCGAAAGCTCAACTGTTGCAGAATGTCTGGAGCCGAGCATCATGTGATGCCTCATGTTTCAACCACCCTCACCTGCAGCCGCTTGGATCCCTCACCCGCAGAAAAGCCCGGTGTTCTCCTTAAACATGTGTGCGATGTGGGCGGCATAGTCCACCGCGAGACCCACGCAAATCAGCACATAGATCCTCGCGAGACCGCGCGCTGGACGACCGTCTGGCTGGACCGGCGACCCCCGTCTTCAAACGCCCGTCGACGGGGCGCCCGCCAAATCGAGGGCGTCGATTGGAGGGTCTGGAGCTTTGGACATGGTCTTTTTGTTAATCATGATTGGAGGGAATGGAATCAGGAATCATTTCAGTTTTGAGCCATGCCGGAATCATCCGGACATCCAATTATATAGCAACTGATGAGTCCCACGCCTTCAACATCCCTTCCATGCCACCAGGGACCTGTTTTCTCCTTCGATGACAGCGACGGGGCCAACCCTGAGGTTCCCGACGTGGACACACCGCTGATGGTGACATCCCAGAAGTACATGTAGCCCAAGGTGTCGACGATGGACAAGCACACGCACAGCACCACCTGAGTGTGGGAAAGCCGAGAGATCTTACATCATAACATATCAAGAAAGTGAATACAGTATGTCAGACTGCGACGACCCTCGATTCCTAGAGCGACAAACACAAACATGTGACTTTTTAATATGACGTAATCAATTCAATTTGCAAAACGCAAGTGTATCTGATATACATGTCTGATACTATCCGGCCATCACGATTCCGTGGACTTCACTCAGATGGATCCTTCTGCTCTGCTCTGCATCCTGGTCCGATGGTCGAGGCGCCCAAATGGCAATCCGCGGGTTGGGCACCAAGGCGAAGATCACCTCAGCTCGCTCGCTTCACCCGCGGAACCGCCCGTCGACCCCGCCGAGCTCGGAGCTCGGTGGCGTGGGTGTGGTCCCCCGGCTGTGCCCGGACCGAGTGACGTGGATCGAAAGGGAAAAAAAAACAAGGAGCACGAGGTCCCGGTGCGAGAAGAAGGACTGGATGCGCGGTGAGAGGAGGTCAAAGAAGGACTGGGATCGATTTAGATCATGTGGTACCAGTGCCCTGAAACCAAGCGCAGTGTGAGTCTGTGGTGGAACATGCTGGATTTCCCGCCATCAACTCTGATGGGTCAATCGACAAGTTGAGAGAATTCTACAGACCGACCTGGCCCCAGCGACCTGGCCCCTTCTCCAAAAAGGATCCTTCTCAGGTCCAAACATCTAGGAGAATCAGCCAGTAGTGGTGTTGTTTAGGAGATAATAAAAAACAAAAAATACAGGGTCCATTTGAATACCACAGTGATACCACATTGGGGGGTCTCCTCTATCAACAAGCAGATGCCCGCCCTCCGCCTGGATTCAGCATGCTTCAGCCAAGATCACCACTAAAATCACCGCACCGCAAATGGCCAAGTTCTTCATGAGCTCCTCGTCGATGATTCCCACCTCGCCCGGCCGACGCGACGCCGATCGTGGCTCGTCGCGGTCTCTCCGCGGCGGTGGTTGCAGCGTCGAGGGGGGGGCGGTGGTTCAGCGCCTCTTCCCAATAGAGGAAGTCAAAGCTGTAGGGGAAAGCACCCGTGTAGAGCCGGTCCACCTGCGCGCGCGCGCTCTGTCTGGCGCCTGTCTGTGTCGTGGGTTCTACGCTCTGCCCCCCCGGTCGTGGGGTGGAAACGAAGATGACCTGAACTCTCGAAAATGATTGACCACAGACCTTTCGGTCTGGTTTCAGCTTGGCTGTGAATGATGACGCCTGGGGCCACTTTGACGGTTTTGATCTTTTGGAATATATAGTTAGTTGTGCTGCTTCGTGATGAATCAAATCATCAAAATTGTCAGGGGTTGCATGCATTGCTTGCGAATTGCACCAAGAAGCCACAAGAGCTCTGCCAATCATGATGTTGGAACATCCGAATCACATGCCGAACACCACTCCTGCTTCCTGATCCTTCCTGCTTCTGCGCTCCTGCGCTCTGCGGGAACTTACCGGAGCAGAAATGCGGGACGTCGAGATCGTTCCCGCCATCTTCCCCAGCGCCCAGAGTCTGGCCTCACTTCTCATGCTTGTCATGGTGTCGAAGCGGTCTGTGCCTGTCATAGCAGTGCTGCACATGCTATGCCAGCTGCCACGAGCATCGGAGAGCCATGACCATAAAATGAAATACGGGTGAACATGGTACAATTCCAGTATGTGTTCAAAAACATGATTCCATAATCCATTTGGATTATGATAGAATATGATAGAATCATGTATACCCTTCTGTGATTATGCTCTAACGCCTCATGATGTCTGTACGTAGGCAGCATAGCACTAGTTCCATGGATTCCATGTATCGGAAACCAACTGATACGACCACAAACCACTGATGCACCACTCCCCCCCGAGCCACCACCGTCCACCACCGTCCACCACTGTCCCCCGGCCTCGGTTGGTGGCGGCCAACGAAAGCTCAGCATTGAAGCGCGTGGCCAGCAAGCCCTCGGTCCTGGCAGGCGGACCGGTCGGAGACGGGGAGACGGGCAGAAAGCAGGTTGGTTCGTTCTCAGATCGAATGAACCTTCGTTCGATGGTTTGTCCTTCTCATGATGTTGGTGAACATCATCTTTGAGGGTTCTTCGAACCCAGTAAAGAACACACACTCTTTCTTGTCGCCTCTTGTGCGTACAAAACAGAGAGAGAGAAGCAGAGAAACCAAGTTCAATGTGTTCGTTCTGAGCTTGGCACGGAGTGCATCCAGCTGGCACATGGTCCATGCTGCTCTCCACCTCACAGTCCTCAGTCCAAGCTGCTCAACCACCAGGGTGCGAAGGATATATCCTTACTGTATGATTGTAAATTGATATATAGCTTATAGTATTATATTTACATGCATATATTTATACGCATCATATACGTACCTTGACGGCGTTTCAAGCACCCCAATGTATGACAGTGCATGGAAAATAGATCTTCCAAGCATTTCGGGACTGTCTGGGCCATGTCTGGGTCTTAGTTGCATCATGTTGTATATGGCCTCGTCTGGTTCACACATTTTTCGCTGTCCAGTTGTACCTTCCGTCGCCCGTCTCTCCTCCGCTCAATCCGCCTTGTCAGCCCATCGCAGGGAGTTGCGGTAGCGAGCCCCCACGTTGGTACGATACCTGGTTTCTTGGAGTTTTGAGCATGGTGAACATGGAGGATCTGACTGTTACCAGAATCAAGCAACCAGGAAACCAGGTATGCTTTTACAGAAGACCATGCAACAAACTTACATGACATAGCATAACCTGGATCTGCAAGGAGTGTACAAGGAAGATCCACAAGTAGTGCAAGGACGTGTAAGATAGCTAATTACTAAGTAATTAGTCCATTGACTGGTCAGTGTTCATTAAAATGGATCTGCTTCACTCAAAGTTTCAGGCCCTTGCCAGGTACTCTTCACAATTTCACATCTGCTTGAGGGACCCAGCCTTCCTAAGACAAATAGATGACCCTCGTCAGACGACGACCCTCATACGATCCGCTCTTCAGGATGGATCACCACAAGTGCAAGGCCGTGTAGAACTGGTTCCGGTCCGTGAAGACCGCGGTCGCTCCGCTCCGCGAGGGCGAGAAGCTGTCGTTCGCAGTGGCCACCTGGGATGGTGGCAACATGTATGCAACATGTGCATTATCTAAGCTAATTATACAGTATCTAAGAAGTATCTAATCAAAACTGTTCATAATATATGTTCATTCTCCAAAGATGTTCCTTCTCCAAATACCATGCTCTCTCCTATTCTCCACTGATGTCCACCTGTCCACCTCATCCCCTCAACTGGTCCAGTTCCCGCCCACCGTTCAGCTCCTGCGCCTGGTTCGGCTCGGTGGCCCAGTCCATGAACTCCTGGTACCAGCTGTCCACCGCCACATCCTGACGTCTCGAGACCACGCACGTCGTCTCGAGACCTGTACCCGCCGAGCAAGAGACGGGTCGAGGGGAAACGAGAACGTCGTTCCGTTTCGCTGCCTTTCTTCGGGTTTCTTCAAGCCCCGCCTCTTTTGAATCTGTTTCCACAACCATTTCTGTGTGTTTTTGGAATGATGGTTGAATTCGTTTACAACTATCTGTTTCTTTCTTTCTCCAACCTCCCCTGCTATCAAGATCCTAACGAAGAGATCCCCCCAAACTTCAGGTCGAGACCGAACACCCACGGGCCCCGCGGACCGGACTCTCGTTCTGAACACGGAGGACTCCAGCAGCCAGCAGCTTGGGGCCGGGGGATCCCTCCCCAGCCCTCTGAAGGATTCACCAACTTGATCCATCCAATTGGTTCTGAAGGATATAGTTGTCCAATGTTGTCCACTATGTTGTCCTTACAGCCTCATCCGCCATGGTGGTAAGGACGGAGTGCTGTATACCCGTGGTGAGTGCTGTATACCCTCCACTTTGTTCTTGGTTTCGCCTTGCCCTTCGAAACTGTTCCATGTCATTCCACGATTTCACCGTCTCAAAACGTTAGACATGAAGGTCCATCACCAAATGGTTCGGTCCTCACCGACCTCACCCGACCCACCCCAGTTCGGCTTGGCTTGGGCGTTGGGCTGGGGAGCAAACCTTTTGACTCTTAAGCAAAATAAACATCGACACTTCCCTGCCCGTCCACAAAAAAGTTTTATCCGGTTCTATCCAGTTCTTACCCTGCAAGCGTCAGGGTTGATCAGGCTGGTGCTGTTCAAGTACCCGTAGACCTCACGCAGGTTGCTCTGCATCCTTGGAGAAAGGCATGCGCCGACATCTGTCCATTGAGGATCCTGGTTCCCAAGCAGTGCAAGACTCACACATGACATGTCCGCATCGAGCGCTAATTGCAACCTTCCATTTCCTTCCGCCTTGCGTTTTGGTGTCAAAGAACCACCCAACATACCTCAAGCAGTCCTTGAAACAGCCCCTCCAAAGACCCAACAACACCCGCACCCACACACCTACCTGTCCCTCACCAAGGGGCAACCTGTTTTTTAACCCTGAAGCATTTTTTTCTAACCCTGACCTTTTTTTAACCCTGGAACCTTCTTTTCTAACCCTAGACTAAATCTATTTAAGCCCCGGGTTAAAATAGAGTAGTTTCTTCAAGCTTAGGACGACAGGTGAAACGACTTCAAGGAAGCTAGTTGCAGCACCACCAGTTGAATGTTCACCTCTAAGGCTGAGGCAATCCTCACACGCGACCAGTTGAAGAATCGGTCTGCATCTTCGCCATCTTCATCATTCTGATGCAATATGTATTATTGCCAAGGCCTTCACAAATACTTGCCTTCAACGCGCCTGCCTTCAATGTTCAACGCGCCTTCAATGTAATCCTGCCTTCAACGCGCCTGACTCGATTCAATGATTCAACTCAACAATGTGCCACTCGGTCCAAAATGCTATACTCTGTCTGTCTGTCTGTCCTGTCTTGTCTTGTCTTGTCTTGTCTTGTCTGTCTGGTCTGTCTGGTCTGTCTGGTCTGTCTGGTCTGTCTGGT